ATTGATGTCAGCCCTCCTGAGTAAATCAGACAGGTAAGAAATATCTAGATGCACTAAATCTACTTTATTGTAAGGTTACATTAAGAGTATCTTGTAAGTTTAAAGATGCAAACTTCCCAGCTGGAAAGGATGGATCCTTCCTAAGTTTCTTTCTGTGATTGTTGTCACTGAGGGCCCTCTCTTATCTGTTTCCTAGACAGCATCTTTTTCTTTGGCCTCCAAGGTCATCTAGCCATCCCCATACAGCTTTAGAGTATCAGTGGATCATCTTTGTACCAGTCTGGAACTCTTTAAAACAGCTGCATCCTTTCCAAAGGATCATGCAGCATTGTGGCAATTGCAATGAGATTGCCATGCAATATGTGTCTGATTTAGAAGAGTTTTAGAAAGGTGTTGTTTGGACTCTTGAACTTCTGAAGCAGCTTTTCTAAATTATCACACAGCCCTTAATAGTGGCTAGCTGAACCAATAGACTGTCTCAGATATGGTCAACCAAACCCACATGTGAAAAGTTCAAATTAGAATTAATTGTTTGTTTTTAAAAATTAGTTTTTCATAAGTTCATTTTCTACAATGGCACAGCTAATGAAAAAAAATTCAATTGTTAGATAAGATTTCTTGCCCTCTGAAGAATTTCATTGTTTTTCCCCCCTCTGGCATTACTGCCATCATTGCTAAGTATGAATCCTGATGATAAATGGCATGAACAACTAATCCCATAACCCACTTGAATATTTTCAATAAGCTGAATTGCAGAAAACAACAGCTTAAGCTTTTCATGACAGGGAAATAAAATGCTATTTGCTACAAAATTATATTTAATCCCTTCCAAAGTTTGTGATCACTTTAACCACAGTTTAGTATTTGGTTTACTGTACAGTTGCTTGGGACAGTCACAGTTTCATATACTATTCAAACTGAGTGGACTGGTACGATATAGAAGTGGGAGTGAGTGCAAATAGATTTTTCTACAAGTGCAGCCCATCTGGATGTCCTATATAATACATGCACAATATGTCCTATATAATACATGCACAATATGTCCTATATAATACATGCACAATATGTCCTATATAATACATGTAAAATAGAATGCATACAAAATTTCCATACAAGATTTCTCAAGATAAATATAGAATGGATAAAAATAAGCTGTTCTTTATCCTAGGTAGATCAGTCTATATCATGTTACCATGTTTGCTTATTAGGCTTTTAATAAACAGTGCCAGTTACTCAACTCCCCAAAGATGGCTGGAATATCAAGTGAAGAGAAAAATCAAAACAGAAATTTAACTGCTGAGCTGCTTGATCATACTTAGCTTCAACCACAAAAAAGCATGCTGCACAAATGCATGAAGGTTTACAAAGTTTGATTATATACAGTTTTATTGTGATTAAAAGCTTAACAGTGTACAATTGACAGTCTCTTTTCATCTTCTACCTTTAACTGCACATCAATATGAAGGTTTTCCCTATCACATAATTGCTATGCCCAAAACAGTTCCTCTACTAAATTTCTGTACGGCAGGTTGCTCTTAAAGACACAGAAGCAGGGAATGTAAAAATGTAGACTTTGGCATTTAAGTGTTACTCTCATAATTCAAACTGGAAAGGAGAATTTAGGATTTGCCTCAAAAAAAGTTAATCATCTTTACACATACTCTATTCTCCTCCAACTCCCCAAGTTTACTTCTTTAGTTCAGCAGAAGTCTAGGTAAGCAGCCCTGTTCCAACATTCACCATTCACGCCTAAAGTGCAAGAGTAAAAGGAGGTATATGTCAATTCAAGTAACTTTGTCAACTTTATGAATAAAAAATCTGAGCAGGTCAGGCAAGGGCAGGTGAGGATGAACATTAGCAAACTTTGTCCCTTTCAACTTTGAAAGACAAGGAGCAGCTAATGAAAAAAAAAGCATTTTAAGATCATCAGCTCATCTTTTTCCAACTGCTTCTTGAATAGTTGCACTATAGTTGCACTATACCTGGTGTGTCAAACTCACATCATCATGGCAATGTCATGTGACATGTCAGGACTTTTCCCCCCTTTGCTAAACCAGGGGCGGGCTTGGCCAGCACATAACACAAAACGTGCAGGCCATGAGTTTGACAGCCCTGCACCATACTGGTATTTGAAAATCCTTTCAGAATCCAATCCATTAATACTGTATAGCTTTCCAGATTATGGTTCCCAAGTCGGAAATGAGCTGTAGGGTTTGGGAGTATCATTTTCTTTCTGAGGTTTCTCGTTCACCTGTAAGTCTCACCTATTTTTATGGTTTCATGTTACATATATAGTCAAGTCAAATTCTGGAGAAAGTCAATAGTATTCCCTCTACCATTCACAACCTACAATTATAAGTTCTGGCTTGAGGGCAACCCAAGTTAGCTCTAACTGTCATTAGTCCCAATGTAGACTTGATGTAAGCAACAGATACAGGAGAATATGAAAAAGGAGGAATATTTTAGTTCCTCAAAATAATGAGAAGGAGGTGATGCAAGAAATGATGATGCCACCTATTCACAAGGACTTTCAACCCTAAATTGTTATACTTCACAACAACCTTCTCTGAATAGTAGCTTTCAGGTGCTTTGGGTTTAGCATTCCCATCCATATCAGTTCCATCTCACATGGCCTTATAGTATAATTAGTTGTTTCATCTCACATTTTAGCAACATCTCAAGCAGGATGAGAATGCTTCACAGTATTAATAGAATAGAATAAGGCCCATTGATTTCAAGAGATTTACTCGAAGTATGACTAAGTACAAGATCCCATCTACTTTCTTCAGTATTTCTTACCACAGCTCCAAATGGTGGGACAGGATTCCTATTTATGAGAGAGGGAAGAGTAAGGTTGAAAGAGAAAAGCATTTATGGCACTCAGGGTGTACGTAAGATTTCAACTAGAAACAAACATGAACACATGTGGTTTCTCATGATCCATCCTTAACAATTGTTAACAAAAGTCTTACAAAATACTTTCAAGATTTCTACTGAGTCAGTTCTGGTATCTGATGTTTATGCTTGGAAAAATTAAAGGAAATTTTAAGAAAGACCGACAGAAGATAAGATAGTTTGAAACTAATACCAATGACATAATAGGAGTTAATTCAAAGAAGCAATTACTGACAGACAATTCTGGCAAAATGATAGCAGTGGGGTCATGTAGAGTTGGAAGCAATGAACAACAAAATTAATTACTGATTTGTTCTGTGTTATTATCATCATATAATTTTATTTTTGAAAGATACCTGGAAAGTTGTTGTGATTAATCTGATTTGTCATCACAGCTACAGTGAAATAGTATCTTGGTTCATAAGTACTCCCTCCACTCCATGTTACAGAAATTTCCATAAAGTATCTTCGCACTACCATATTTTTCTATTGCCTATATTTCATTCACAGAAAATTCCATCCTAATCGTTTGCATTACTTCCTCACAAAACACCATCTTAAATAAAGATCACCCATCCCATTCACTCAGAAGTTAGTTTCCTGAAATGTGTGATGAAAAGATTGCCTCTTAGAATTCATCTGCAATCCACTTTGTTCCCACTTTTGATCCCCAAAAGTATTTTTACATGTTAAACCATCTTTAGACATTTCTAATCTGCATCAATCTAATCAATGTCACATTTCTTAAATTCCACCTTGCAGCAAGTAATGACTTTATGTGCCTCTAAGTCAAACTTTCATCCTCTGCTTATTATTTTTTCCTATGAATATGCAATATTTATTACATGCAGCTGATGTTATCTGAATTTTGTAAACAGCCAAGAAACAGTATCTTGCCTTGAAATATGCAATAGAAATCTATTAATAAACATGAATAAAATTCACTTCTGTGCTTTCCTAAGATTTCTCTACTTTGATCATTTCAAAACAAAATAAATTTAAAATACTGTCTTCTCCTCCAACACTACCGCCACCACCTTGTAAAGGGGTAGAAACTTGGGCCACCATACTTCATAGCTGACTATCCCTAACTATGTTTTTATGGGGGGTTTCCCCAAAATGTCTTTGTTATTTTTTCGCTACCAGTCCAAAACTAAGCTGATTTCTTTTTTTAACTTAGAAGAACAGGACACAGCTCAGTAGAGTTGCCCCGTGTTCCGTTATCGGAGCAGAGAAGCGGGTTAAATAATAGGTTGGGGGGGGGGGAGAAAGTGGAGTTGACACCTTCGAGAGAACAAAGGCGGCTACAGACAACAAAGGCCGCCAGGTAAAGCAACCAGCCAATAAAATGCAGGCGCGAGGAAATCGCCCAGCAAAGCGAAGGAGGGGCGGTCAGGAAGGGAGAGAAAGGGACTCAGCCTAAAAAAGGCGGGTCGCTCCTTGGACCCGATCCAGGGCATCCCAGGTCGCAGCCGGGCGGAGGAAGGGAAGGGAACGGAACGGAACTTTCCCGGAGAAAAAGACACGCCGCGGGAGGACTCGGTTTCTTCCTCCCCCTGTCAACTCGAGCAAATGGCCCGTTTCTTTTTCAACCTAATCTTTCCCGCCCAGACATGTTTGGCTCCGCTCTCGGGAGAGTTTACAGAGGCTCTTTTGGTGCCCTGGGCGCGCGCTCTCTCTCTCTCTCTCACACACACACACAGAGGGAGAGAGAGAGGGAGAGGTGGGAAAAGACTGGATTCTTTCTCTCCACTTCCTCATTCAGGGATGCTTCAACAAACTAACTACGAATAACTCGACCAGCAACAATAATAAAACCAGCAACATCAACAACAAAATCCCCCTTTAGTTTAACGCTCGAGCGGTTCTTTTCTCCTTGCTCCAGAAACTTGGCGGGCGCGCAAGACCCTCCCCCGTTTCCCCAACTGCAAGCCCATCTACGCGGGAAGAGCATTCCGCAGCTGCAACGCTGCTCCCCCGCCTGAGAAGCCCCCCCCCCCCGACGCTGCGGGCTGGCGTAGCTACGAATGGGCATCCCCGCGCGGGGCGGCGGCGGCAGCTCTCTTTGATTGTCCCTGGAGAAAAACACGAAGAGAAAGACTCACTTTTCGACGCGCCCTGTTATCCTAGATCTGGGGGGGGGGGGGCAGCCGCTCCAGATGAGCTCTGGAGGGGGGGTGATGGGCTGGAAGGGGAGGGAGCGACGAAAGACGGAGAGGGGAAAGGTCTCTGGGCGGCCCCGCTTGGATCCGTCTCTCTCCTCACAGGTTGGGGCTTTGCTCTTCGACGCCCTCGCCGTTCCCTCGGGAGCGCAAACTCCGCCCCAAACCCGCCGGGCCCGGTCAGATTTCTCCGGCTCCGGCCGTTATCGTGACCGTTTCGGATGTCGGAAACTGAGATTGCGGCTCCCCGCCTCGCCCTCTTTCTACTTGGCCGACGGCCCGCCAGGCCGCCCCCGGGAGAGGAGGAATAAGGAGGAGGAGGAGGTTCTGTTTGGCTCTCGTGAGTTCGTTTCCACCGCCCCCTTTGGCCAGGCAAACAAACAAACAGCACGTGGCTGGGAAAGGGAAGGTTGGCCAGGCAAAGGGCACCTGCTGTGGCCGGAGGAGAAGCGGCCCGTCGACTGCTCGGTTGTCGGGCAAAGGGAAACTGAGTTACTACTATTATGTAGTCGAGTTAAGCTCGGATCGGGAAGGAAGATGGCGCGAGCGCTGAACTTTCCTCAAGATAGGAACTAGTGACGGGACTAGCCGGGCTGAAGTTTAAACCGGGTCTTTCTGCTTCTCATCAAGTGGCAAACCCCGTAGGAGTAAATTTTTACAAACCAGAAAGTGTGATCGTGACAGGTGTAGAAATGAACTCGGGGTCGACCTACATCCTCAATTCACTTCGGAGAATTCGTTCTCTTAGGGTGCATACAGTCGAATAAGGTCTGTGGAGATGCTCAGTCATCCAGGTCATGGTTGTCCCAAAGGTGCTTTTTCAAGAGGTGACTGGACTTTCTGTTTTTTTTTTTCTTTGAAGATGTTTCGCTTCTCATCCAAGAAGCTTCTTCAGCTCTTCTTCAGAGGCTTCTTGGATGAGAAGCGAAACGTCTTCAAAAAAAACAACAACCCAGAAAGTCCAGTTGCCTCTTGAGAAAGTACCTTTGGGACAGTCAGATAAGGAAATTGAATATAAAATCACATGGATCTGCAAATCCGTATCTTTTTTTTTCTTGGAATCAATTCCGAAGCATCATCCAAGCTTTGCTAAGTGCTTTAAAAGCTGAGCAAATTTAACTCAGGTAAATTAACTCAGGTAAAATTGAGACAAATGAAATAGCTGCCAGAAGCAACTGCCAACAGGCTAGACCGATAAACTATTTCCATGAAATTAATCCAGAATTCCCACCTTTTTTGACTAAGAAAGTTTATTTTGAAATAAACTTGAAAGCCTGTACTGGGCATGCTCACAAAATGATTGCCTTGGGGTGTTGATCAGTAGTAAAATGGTACAGTCTGTAACGCTCCACCCATGTAAATGCACTTTGACTCCAAAGTGCTGTTGATGTGATGATAGGGTTTGGAGTGTGTGTGTTTTACATTTAATAGAAGCCAGTGGTATGTTAGGGAAGCTGCAATCTAAATTAACTGCAATTAATCAATCCCAGAGCTAAGGGTGGTCTTGAATTTGACTTTTCCATTTTTGCTGTTTTCTGCTTCATTTCAGGCAATCCCTTCCAGTTCTGGTCTGTTGAGTATATGCTAAAATTGGGATAAATTGGTTTTCTACACATTTCTTCCATTCAAGGGCTTGGCTCAGAAATATAAAGTCAGTATTTCCTTGAAGCTGAAAAGAAAAAAATAAAATGAATTTTGATCAATCAGAGACATTCTTAGGACTGTATAGTGACAGATTTCAAATTATGGTAGTTCTGTTATTTTCAATTGAATAATTGATTACTTTAAAATATTTATCTGCTCTTTTTACAATAATGACAATAAAAATGTAACATGTAAGCAATATATTAGATCATCATTTTAAAAAAGCAACAAGCAAGGATAATTTAAATTAAAGGCTATATAAGAATATACTTGCATTGCAGGCATGAATGTACCTATGATTATTTCCCATGATAATTATCAGTCTCTTTGTCCACTTGGTTGTATGTTTTCCTTTTTGTTTTAAGATTCAAGTAAAACCAGTGACTAGCAAGTTAGATGCCAAACTAAGCTTTGAACTCCTAAATGAAAGGCTGGTTGTAAAAATTTTTTAAATCTTCTTTTCTTTTCAAATCTTCAAGTCGGTTGACTCTTGCAGACTGCCTGAATTAATCTCTGCCGTTTATTTGCAACATTTTGAATGTGGTTTGCCAATGCTTTCTTCCTGCAACCAAGAAACAGTGACTGGCTCAAGATCACTCAGTTACTTTGATGCCTATGACCCACCATCTCCCAGTTTGTAACCTAGTACTTTAATCACAACGTCAGTCATATCGAATAATAAATAGCCTTCATTTGCAAGAATGGCACATAGACTCCATAGGCAATGCATTCTTGGGGAATAAACGTAATTGGCATCGGAAGCCCAGCACTTCGTTAGTAATCTGTCAACCTGTCCAGAAAACAGAGATCACAGAATCAATGACTTGGAAAGGGCTTACGTCCAAGTTTTTCCGATGGTGGGAGCTGAACAGGAAGTGAGGAACCTCACTAGTTTGCCAACTAATAAATGGATATTTTGTGATTGTCACATCTTTATTATAGCTTTTTTCCCCCCAAGAGTGCTTCCTAATGTGCCTATCAGTCACAAAATATTGCTTGCCTCTGTGGTAAATCAACCAAGTAGATAAGACGGCACCTGGGGGATAGCAGCATGCCGTGTCCTTAATGAAGTTAGAGGATTGTGGTTTCTTACGCATAAAGATAAGTCATTTCAGAGCATGGGAGGCTTGCTTTTATGTATCATTCTAACTTGTCATCTTGTGCGTTTTATTGGTGTGGGCCATTAGTCATGTGACTACCAGTAATTCTGTCACCCACCTTGAATTGAATCTTAAATATACATTGTGAACCAGTGTTGATAGCATAACTTTGAGTCTGAAGGATCCCATATAAAAATAGTCCAGTGGTCAAGTATGGTGTTTGTATGATGGCAACATCTTATTTTTAAAAGTAGCTTATATAAAGAATAATATACACAATGCTCTAAATGATAGCAATGCTCTAAACAGGATCAATATTAAGAGTGGGTGATTAGGCTATTGCCTAGGATTCTAGATGTAGAAAATGTTGAATTTTAGAGGAACAGCTAGTCCTTGCTTAATGACAGTAAGTGGGAACAGAATTTCCACTGCTGACCAATGCAGTTGTAAAATGGAATGTTTGCACATCAGTTAGCAATGGCAATTCCAGCAGACCTTATTGTTGTCTTTAAACCAGGATTGTAAGTCATTAAGCAAGGACCTCCTCACAATTTCCTGCCACTTTCCCACAACCAAACTCAGTAGGGAAGCCAGCAGGAAGCTGCAAGTCCCAGATGGTTTGCAAGCAGGTTGGCAGGCAAGTCAATGAGCATGAGTGATTTTGGACTCAGAATTGGATGCTGCCAGGTGAGGGATAGTACACAGGTACTAGTGTACCTGTGTACCTGTACAGGCCATAGTGGCACACAAGAGTGATTTATGGCCCAGGAGTGGCTGTTTCCAAATAAGGAATCTTACCTGACAGTGGTAGTGAAAACTTCAGTCGGTTCATCTTTACTTATAAATTGTAGAGCCAGTTATGGATTAGCATGATGATTGCTTTCATTTTTAACAAAAAAAAGAAAAGCCTAAGTATGTATATAACAAATAATACAGTTTACATTTTAGCATTAATCTGATCAGTTTTGTCCATATCAAAGATTAACCTCGCATGTAAAGAATATATTGAAATTATGAAATGAATGACAAATGCAACAGAAAATCGAACAGTAAATATGTACATATGACAAACTCACCCCATAGATTAGTTCTGTAAGGATACGTTGACATATCAATTAGTGAACTTTTAAGGACTTCATAGGAATGAAGCCAAAAGAGAGACAAATCTAAAATCACAGTGAATGGTTTTAACTGCCCAGAAGAATAATGGGAAAGTTTCCTCTATCAAAGCCAGAATTTTGGAGATTTCTCAAATTCTGTACCTTAATCTCTAATAATGCATAGGTGTAATATGCACTATCAGTTTGCTTTTACTTTTATTAGCAGCTGCACTATATCTGCAGCTGATACACCAATTATGCCCTTTCCGGGACGGGGTGACCTAGTTACATTTGTTCACATGGCTGTTTTCATATTTAATTACTCTACAGTAATGTATTCCATGTGGAATTGTTCTTGTGCTAGATCCAGAACCTGCAGTTGATACTAAATGTGACATGCAGCCATACACATTTATTATTTATTCATCAACTACATATGTCTAGTCTGCCCATTTATCCAATGAAATGCCGGGTGATAAACAGAATGAAATAACCCATTGTTTTTCTCTCATCTCTTTATGCATTCTACACTTCTCTACATAATTGTTTCTACTTCCTCAAACCTGACTAACTACCCCAGAAATGTTACAATTTGGGGTATGGTTGGTTGGAACTTGAGTTTCACCTTGGCAATCATCCACCCATCCTTATATTTCACTTTGTGTTCTGACCCACGCCCTTTTCCAACAAATCAAACACAATCCAAAAGGAACAGAAACCTTGTAATGCTTTTGCAAAATAATTAGCTGTGATAAGCACAAGCCTTGCCAAACTGCGAGACTTGCTAAAAGATAACAGACAAAAAATAATTTGCAATAGGGGACTTCCGGTTTGTAAGGCTTCGGCGGTGGCAGGAATCCGCGATTGTGCGCAGTTTCTGCTGCGCTCGCCGCTGGAGTGCCCCCGATCCAGACGGATTTGGGGGCTAATAGTTACCCCGTAGAGGTAACTGAAGATAGGGGAGAACCAGCAGGGGTCTGGGGGAATCGCAACACCCCTCCTCAGCTGGCTTAACTCCCTTTTCCAAAGGCGGTAGAGCGGTGGTCAGCAATGGCCGCCACAAAGAAGCCTGCATCCGGATAAGAATGTGCAGGAGGAAGCTGAAAAAGTGAAAGTTCTGGCT